TTGTAGTTACGACTTTGTAATCTCTCTTTGTAGCTTCATGATTTCAAAATTTTCGAGATAATCGATTGTATCATGCGTGTCCCTTTTAGAATAGGGCTGTTTTCTGTGTGTAGGATTAGTTTAGTTAGTTAAGGAGGGTCATCAGCAAAAAAATGACAAATTTCCCAACATACCAAAGCAATGAAACTTCGCAGTTTACTTGGTCAAACAGTTTCATGACTTCTAGAATTTTTTCAGAATATTTTTGACTGTAGATTTCGTGAAATTTTTAATAAAAAAAAAGCCTTATACGCAGGTCTAAATGAAATAGGTATTTTGAGTGAAAATTGTCGCGATCAACAATATAAGGGAAGGGTAAATAGTGCATATTCCAGTAGATATCTACTGCAGGAAGGATCTTGCAGAGTTTCGGACATTTTTTGAGTAAAATAATTGATTTTTCTTTAAAAAAGTGAGAAAAATATCTCGTTCAGGTTGGAATCCGCTGAAATGGCGGTGAAACTTGGCAACATAGATCGACAGTAGCGCACGCATGCGCGGTATTCGGCAGTGCGGGCGGTTTAAAATACTAATGGGAATTAAAATACGAAACTTAAATTGGAGTTGGAACTTTATTAAACAATATTTTTCTCATTCAACAACGTAAAATAGTCTTATAATCGATAACATTAATTCACCGGAAAACATGTCACTTTGGAACTTAGTTGGACCCTACCGCAAATGAAAATCTTTTAAAGTTTTTCAAGTTTTTCAGCAACCCCAAGAGTAGTGCGGGAGGTTATTTTCTTAATTCATCTCTCGTCTCATGAAAAAGTCAGAAATCTCCTGATAAATATTCTTTAATTTTTGGCCTCGAGGTTGATATTTAATGCTGCTCAATAACTTTTCAATCCCCATGCATTTGTCGGATTGAAATGCTAATAACAATTCATTAAATCCTATATCACTTTCTGCCATCCTCTGCCTCATGATTAGTGGAATTAACTTTGATAGAGGAGAGAGTGTATTTACTAGTTCCTTCGTTTGCCTTGCACTCCGGTGATTGAGAGCATGAGACACTATAGTCATTTATGTTACGAGTTCCTCGACCGTGAATTCATGAAATACAAAATGCCTCAACATATACACATCATAAGATGCAGTATGAGCCTTCGATGCACTCACATTCAACCACGGACTAGCCAGTACAAATAGCGTTAGTTCACCCTTTCCAAATTTTTTATCCTTATTCTTGTCTTTTCTTTTGAATCCTTGGAGTGAGCATGCAAGACCTTCAACAGCTGATTGAAATTCTTCTACGAGTGCTAATTTTTCAATTACGCGAAGTAAGCGAGGACCATCAAATGCCAAATTATGTGCTACTAGAATTATTCTTTTACCAAATGTCTTGAGATATGTAATAAATTCTGATAAAACAATTCGTGGACTGAATGATTCCTGGCGAACTCCATGCAAATACAAATCTCCAGATACATTTGTCAGACCATGAGCTTCCGTGGCTTTAACATCAATGGCTTTTGATGGTCGAATATATTTTTCAAATGTACTGGATCCTGTGCAAGCAGCGATTTGTAATATGTCACAGTTACCCTTGAGGCTAGATGTCTCTAGATCGAATAAAACTATTTGATAATCGTCATTGGCTAAATCCACTGAGCTATCAGCATCCTGAGACCCTTGTGGTACGTTGATTACTGGGGTGTCCACTAACCCCATGTGGGATCTGTACATGACACCTTCAGAGTGTTCATTCTTATGACGAAGGGCACTACGGTTCTTCCTGAGCTGAATACGCTGTCTCTTGAATGCTCGAGTTCCGGCTTTATTGGCTTTGCGTCCCACTATCACATCCATTCTTCGAACGTAGTCATGTAAATGCTTATCAATGTGTAGGTTGAGTTTCCTATAAATTGTCATGACGTATCCTGGTTTTAGATTTTTTTCAGCCACAGTTGCAGCAACTCGAAAAACCATAGACTCACTGAGACTATAACAGATTGCCTTGGAGGCTTTTCGAGCTATAGCTGCATTCAGGCTCTCGTTCATCTGACTGGAAGCTGTATGAGCATACTTAGCTGCATTCTTTGCTAGTTTCTCGAAAATTCGATTAATTTCTTCAAACAGTACACCATTCTGGAGACCTTCTCCTATGATACTGTGAGAATAATCAGTGGATTTTTTGTATCTACACCAGTCACTACAATCGAGATGCATATTGAAAGCATGATAAGGGATGTTTCTGATGGCTGCAGCCAATCCAATCTCATCACCATGATTCTGTTTAATCGCATACCTCAGGCACTTGTCTAGGTAATCAATTGATGTTTTTGTCATTTCCTTATCAGGGTCTTTCTCCTTCGGAATACTGTACAACAGATTCACTGCACCCTTAGTTACATGATTCCCATCAGATAGCTTGACCACTGGATGATCAGATGCCATTCTGACTTTACTGATGGCTCACGAATCTTCATCTCCACAGAAAATTCCTATTTCTAAATTATTCTGTTTTAAGATGGGACTATTCACAGTCACTTTAACTGCTAGAGCAGCCTCGATGCCCTCGGCACTTTCTGTGTACTCCTGGCGACAGTCATGGGTTTCCTTGGATTTTCCCAGATAACACATTCGACAGAGTCGATTCTCTGTACCATAATCTACGTTTAAACCACTTTGGGTTCCATCAAGACAAGCATACCCATTCAGACTATCATACAGCTTCCCATTTCCCCTTTTCGACCATGCAGTATCGAAGGAGGCCATAATCCGTACTTTTCTTTCGTCGATCTCAGTATGAGCAGTGGATACGTGCATATCTCTCCATTTTAATGAGGATTTCTTGATTTTCATGGAAATCTGGTCTTCAATACGTTGACAAGCTGTCGATGATGAAGTATCTGAAACAGGTCTTGCTGACTGTGCACTCTCTCCTGTATAGAACGATCGGTGCATTCAGTAAATCAGATAAAAATGAAAGACAACGTGCACGTATCCTCTGGACTGGAGGTAGACTCACCTTTATTTTCCTCTGAGTTATCTGTCATTGTTGCTTTCGGAATGATGAAATTTTCACGATGTTCAACGGGACTGGAAATTATATGAATCGTCAAACTACCTAGTCAACATATATATCCATCATTTTTTTAAAATACCCAATCTACGTCAAATAACTACTTCAAATTTTCTTCTCCATTATTTATTAGACCTTCCATGATACATTTGCTTAAAAAAAGTGTACATAATTTCTACTTAAATTCGTATTAGTTACATTTTTCTCTGTAAAATAAGCAGGAAGAAGGCAACGACTGCAGCTGATAAGAGAAAATGATTGAAGCATTACTAGAAAACGTTAAAAAAATCAACTGAATGTACAATGATTAGATAAAATAATAATCTGATGGTCTGTGAAGTAATTCTTTTGGGCATATCCATAAAAAATGGCCGAAAACTCCCTGTTAGTAAAGTTCATCTAGACAATCTATGATCTAAGCAAGAATCAGTTTCATTAAATCAATCATAAATTATTTCAATTAGTAAATAATAAATAAAAAGTATAAAATGATTAATTATGTAGATGATAGTCACAATAGTGAGAATTTAAAAGCATCTGAATCCCAAGAAAGTTATTCATGCAAAATCTAGGAAATCAATCAAAATAAAATCTTTACACAATTGCTTTAACACAATTAAAGTTATCATCAATATAATGATACTTCACTCTATAAAGTAAAAATTAGAAGGTAATACGCAGAATGAAGCCATTAATCAAGGTAGAAGCGCGATTACAGAATTCGATAGGCGGTAAATAAAAGGTACGCAGAAAAAAAAGTTTTTTAGAACAATTTGCTAATTCAGCGGGTTATTATCAGCTTACACCATCTTCTCTATTTGTTCTTTATTGATAATTGTTAGCCTTCTCTCGATCTTTGCAGCCCTATCGCCGCTTCCTTTAGCTACCTTCTCTACCACTGGTCCAACTTTACGATCATAATATTTTTGTGTATTTGACGGTACGGTGGGAATGTCAAGACCTGACAACAATTTGTTGAATCCTTGATTACCAATTCCAGCATGAAAGCAACCTGTAAAAGACATCAATAATTTAAAAATCTTCAATTTTATTTTATTTCATTTCATTTTATATAACTTACCAATGGATGCCTTGAAATTAATTTGAAATTGCTCTCGTTTTCCTGCGTGTTTCTCACGAATACACTTGGTTGTTGGAATTTTTTTCTCATGAAAACAATCAGGACATCTAATAAACAAATAAGAGCCCAAACCGTGTCGTAGCTCCCTCAGAATATCTTTCAGAGATAATGTTTTTTCACAGAATTCACAGTACAGTGCCTCAGCCAGCAGATTCAAATCGACAATACGATTGCCGGTCAAATTTGGCTTCTGGATAGATTCTTCATTTGGATTTTCTTGGTGTTTATTGCCATTCATAATTTTCGTGTTGAACTCAGTTTCATTCTGTGCGCTGTCAGTCTTTTCAGGAGTAATCACATCCTCTTCTGGTGTTCTCTCAGCGCTCTCCAATATTCTTATTTCTGTGCCAATATCATTGACTTTAGACTGCAGTTCAGTGATATCTGCTCCATTTTCACAAGCAGTGATGTTGGTTTGAATTTCTTTTGTCCCCGGAGCTTCACCTTGATTATCATCCTGTAATTTTTGTCTCTTAATTGGCTCATGTCCAGTGTTATGAACCTCGATCATGGGTTCAGGGCCTTGAACTCTTCGTCCTCGGTTTCTTCTGCCAGTCGCCTGTTGCTTCAATTTCTTCTCAACATTCTTCTTTTTTATCCATCGATTCCCAAATCGTTGCAGTGAAGAGCTTGAATTCATTTTTCTTCCGCTACACTTAACTGATTAGCTCTACTTGCATCTAATATTTTTCATATAAAAAATAGTTAAACAGGCGACATAACCTCGGAAATTTGTCACTACTGAAATTTGCACTCGACCTTGTAGATAAATGTACGTTTTTACCGACAGGATCAATGCCAATCCTATGAAAATTAACATCAATGAATACGTTGTTGCCACGTCGCGTCCCTACAAATACACTAAATAATTTAGTTTGTTGCTCCATTTCGACTATTGAAACCGTTTTTTATATCGTCATAAATATATACCTATTGCCAAAAATGGAAAAGCGCGTCATTTAAATGAATTGTTCTGATTTATTCATGTATTATTGTTTATTCATCAACAGTTGGAACCCTGAGTCGGAGCCTTTGAAGTTTACCCCCACCCTATATCCTCAAAATATGCTGATGAACCCCCTTAAGATATGACAGAATCTCGCTTCGCCAGTGTGGCGTGATTCGGGAGTTTTGATTGCCCATGCACTTTACGAAAATTACATAATTTCAAACAAAAAAAATTGATTACGAATTATTAAATTATTACATATGGCTTTACGGTTCACGCTGTATGCTTGAATGACAATACTGTGAATATGATGAAGCTTAGTAATAATCCACCGAGCAATAATTTGATGAGAATGCTAACTGATTGGTGCATTATCGTAGTGAAGATTGAACTTGATAAAGCAATCACTGCAGTACCTGGATAAATGTAATTGTAAAAACAATTTTTTTTCCCCTCGCCCACGTCCATGTCCTTGTCCTTTTCCTTGTCTTTTTCCTTGTTCTTGTCCTTGTCCTTGGCCTTGTCCTTATCATTGTCCTTGTTCTTGTTCTTGTTCTTGTTCTTGTCCTTGTCCTTGTCCTTGTTATTGTTCTTGTTCTTGTCATTGTCCTTGTCCTTGTCCTTGCCCTTGTCCTTGTCCTTGTCCGTGTCCTTGTTCTTGTTCTTGTTCTTGTCCTTGTCCTCGTCCTCGTCCTTGTCCTTGTCCTTGTCCTTGCCCTTGTCATTTTCCTTCTCCTTATCCTTGTTCTTGTCCTCGTCCTCGTCCTTGTCCTTGTCCTTGTCCTTGCCCTTGTCATTTTCCTTGTCCTTGTTCTTGTTCTTGTCCTTGTCATTGTCATTGTCATCTTCATTGTCATGACGGTTCTTCGATGTCTCCTCTTCGCCGGTCAAGTCGAACTCATCCCCTTGGTCCTCTCTGGTTTCCCGTTCGGTTCCCTCTGGCTCATGGGGTACCATGTCATTGCCTGCCATTGTTTCCGTAAATTGCATTTCTTACCACTATATTAACAAGAGAAGTTATAGTTTGAACTTCTAAGCTCTATAAAATTTGTTGTTTTTCTACTTACTGTAAAATAAGAATATGATAAGCATAAGATTTAAATGGCCACCGATATTTCAGTTGAAAAATAAAAGATGTGCCAAGACTCTGATTCCCTGTCGTGTTGATGATTTTGCAACGTTAATTAAGTATCGTAAATTAGCTTCCTTAATAACGCAAATTATGAGAAAAGGTAGCACTCAAAGACCTTTATGCTCTAGCAATTTTTCGATAATTTCCAATACGTGATGAACTTGATTTTCAATTTTCATTGGGCTTAGAACAATCAAATGTCACTCAATTAATCAATACATTTTTCAAATTGGCTTGGATACCATATTTCATACCAATCGCATTATATACGGGGTGTCCCATTTCAAATTGTATATTCAAATAACTCTTGACAGAGGGCAATAATTAGAACAACATTTTAAATGAGAATGATAGATTTGCAAGGGGGGAAAGTGATACAACACGGAGAGAAATATTCAGAATAAATCACTGCGAATTCCACCTAATTCGCAAACAAAGACGGTCTCAGTGGAATTTCTATAGGAATATAAGAAAAAAGTCTGAAACGTTCAGTAAATTTTTGGGTCTGTGGCATTTTTACGAAAACTTAAAACGTCAATTTTTTTGCGTTTTCGTAGGTGATTTTTATAAGACTTTCCTCTCCGTGGAGATTTATATCCTTTGATAATGTAAATTATGTTGCTTGTCGATTCAATCCAACTAGAAATTGCACTCCTGCAAAGTTATTCCTCTTGATGAGACGATAATTCAGCTACACCGTATTTTCCATCAGTCTATAATCGTTTTTATAGAATTGGAGATCGACCGCATGCTATAGCGCGTTGTAATTATAAAAATAATAATTGAAAATTTCAGTTCTGAATTCAAATTAGCCGCCTCAGACGAATGAACCGATGAGGAATAAGCATGGCAGACTTTCAGACACGCGCTCATGAATTAGCCGCCTCAGACGAATGAACCGATGTGGAATAAGCATGACAGACTTTCGAGATATCGATAGTCTCGATATTTGTCTGTTTAATGATAGGAGAATTTAAAATAGGATTCTTCTCTGTATAATTGACAGTACAAGAAATTCGTTTGGGAATATAACATCATGAATGGGCGTATTAATGACGGATCAATTTCAAAAACAATGAAAGAACTTTTACCTGCCCATAAAAAATTTCGTGTATGCAATTGGGCATCTTTCATTATTCACTGGGCAAGTAAAGTTATCCTTCAACCTCATTTTCGTCCAACTACTCTTGCAGTTTTCACTGCATAATCCGTAAAATTGTTCATTAGCTGCCCTACACTTATATTACTTAATACTTACATTGGTTTTTTTAAATTCTTATTTCTATATCATATACATTATTATCATTAACAATAATTTCTCTATATAAACTCGTGAGAAAAAAGAAAACAATTTAAATGTGCAGTTGTATCTATTAGCCATTGGATTGACTAACAACTTTGTTGTGGCATCGTATGTTATAGCCTCATCCTCTTTAGAATAGTCAATTCTTAAAAAGTAGATGATACTCGCAATCATGAAAAGTATAATGCTATCCTGGACGTGTTATATATTTGTACTGTAACGCAAAAAGTAAAAAAGTAAAATTTTCATTTTTATTGATGAAAAATGATTACAATCAGGCACTTAATATTTTTTCTCTAAGGGAATTCAGGAGCAGCTTTTACATAGGGTTTCAACTGATTACGTTTTTCCATAAAATGATGCACATCGAATACCATATTTTCGGTGATGGGAAAATTCTCAAGTGGTTCGTTGAATATCATATGTTCAATGTCAACTGGGTGAAGAAGTTTTTGCTTGTATTTGAACGTATTAATGATGGTTGCGATAGCTTCAGCAATTAGATGTTTATTGCAATTTTTTGTCATGAGGTGATATGTTCCAATGGCAACGACGTTAGCATTTGAAATCACAACTGTTTTATTGATTCGCCGACTCATATTCTGAATGATGCGATCGAGATGGTCATTAGGTTTATTGAAATCTAAATAGATAAAGCTAATGAAATCATCGGGGACTGGATGTTCGATCACAAAGCTTTTTGAAATTGGTGTATTATAGTAAACGTCGTTTTGTTTCACCATTTTACAATCGTAAATGTCTGTACACCATTCTGAAGCCGTCTCAAACAAATACGATACGACAAGTTTTATAATCTCCGATACATTGGAGTCTATAGTGATCATTTTAGAAAATGAAGACTACTTTACGATGATTCGCAGTGATTTGATTGATCTGAATATTCCTTCATGCGATATTAGTGATCTTATGCTGAAAATTTTTAAACCTTTTGAAAATGCAATGATGAGTATGGATAATATAGGACAGATTGTAAAATTAAAAAAAAGAGCATGTACTAGACGGGAGGGAAGTTGAATACTTTCTTGTCTATGAAATTATTGCAATGAGTGCTTTATTGCAAGTAGCTACCAAGGAAATTAATTTGTGCGCTGAGTATGGATATTCAACACGCAACTTCAGCAAACGTCCCCGAGTTATTGTGAGCAATGATTACAAATCGTGTCTTTTTCTCGTCTACAGTCAGAAAGCTCCATTGCCAAATCGTCTCACCGATTATCGCAATCATTTCACACTTTTTCAAGATAAGGATAAAACTCTTGTGGTTGTGCGAAGCGAAACAACAATGGAATATCGTGATAATGATGCAGTTTTATTGTACGATGTTCTGACAGTCGTCGACGAAGAAGAAGAACGGTTGCGTTCACAAAAAGGATCTTGGCACGTATCATTTGATCGTATTACATACAGCAATGAACGACCAGCATCATTCGCCAATTATGAGCTTGTATGTTCGGGTGAATGGTGGTTCTTTGATAAAGGAATAGTCCTCAATGGAGTTACAAAGTACATCAAAGACACGGAATGCTTGAGTATGTTTATTTATTACGAATTGCATCCACGCTTTACACTTTCGCTGGATAAACCACAGCACCAATCACCGAAGCCTACAGCAACAGCTGATGTACTCTCAGAACAATCACATACCTCATTACCATTCACTTATAATTTGGATAACGTTGACCCACAGCTTCCTAATACATTGGTCACTTCAACTTTACCTACATCAGTATTGCCAGCTATTAATGCTGCAACACGACCTTTCATCATGCAAAACGATACTGTAGCAGCACCAGATGTTCAACATCAATCAGTCATGCCATCTCTCTACTGGCTAACAACACGCGCTAATGAATTTAGGCGCTCAGATATAACTTACTTCCTAAGTCAGAATTATAATTAAGCATAGATATGCCGTAGTTTCTCGACCAACAGTTCGTCTTTAATTCGAACTGCATTGAGACCGCTTCATTCCTGCGTTCTGTGCAAAAGTAATAATATAGACTTTCCACTTTAAAACTTCATATATTTTTTCAAACCGGTACTGAAAAATATTCTTCAAGATAATCGTAAGCGTCAACAATCATTAGATAGGATTCGAGATTTTTCTTTACAATTCCAATATCCATCGAACCAGTTTCTTATCACTTTTTTTTTGGTTTTTCTTGCCTTCGCCACTGGCGTCTTTCAAATTCTCGATCGCTTTGTGTTGCTTTACTGTAAATATATAGTATTAACCCTAAGAAGGTGGAAAACTGCTTTCACCAGCTAACAATTTTTTTATATGATAACAATTGTACGATTTATTCTTGCATCATTAAGTGAGATAAAATCAAAAGGTTGCCGTAGTTGATAACTTCCTTACTATATATTTATTTATAAGTAGGGGCGTTCGAGTTCAAATTGTATTATTGTGTGAGACATATTGACTTTACCATACATACTTAGTATGTACGTTTATGGCATGTGGGGCAAACCAGTCCCAGAAAAAGGACTAATTTACAATCCATTCTTTTTGTTGAAGAAAAGTTTAATGCAAAACATGCGTTGAAATTTGCAGAACTGTCACCTCTCATATAGTAAACCTTAACTCTTATTTTTAATTTTCCGAGTATGAATTTTCCCATTATGATCATACTTAATTTTCTGGACAACTCTCCTCTAGTTAAGGCTTGCCTTCCTCATGCTACAGTAAAGAATTCCTTATGAAGTAGTACACTGCTTCTCAAAATTTATTTATTACCTTGCACCTACATTCCAATAATTATTCATTTTGATGCGAATCTATTAACCATTCATCATTTTTTTGTCGGCGTAAACGAGAACTTCGGAAATCAAGAAAAAATCAACACATTATTTATTTCAGATTTTTTTTTTACCGTATGAAAATGTCTCTGCATCATGGGCACATTTAATTCTCACAAGGGGAACTTTTATGTTCCTAGAAGCTCTATTTTCACTCGACTAGTCCTTTAATAGTTATGCATAATTATGGGAATTTGCTCGTTAGCTGCCCATACATGGATCATCATTTCTCCAACCTTCCTTTGTACGGGTCAGTCATATTTAAGTTCCATAAAATTATTCTGTATTCAACGTAAGGTATAGAAATGAGTACATCTGGGAGGCATTCTCCTAAAAAAAAATACGAATAAAATAGTGAAATTGGAGTTTTTCATGGGTAATAGGAGGTAATGAGAGAACGAATATTTAATGAATTTTTACTCTAACTGTTCTTGAAATATGAATTTTCTACATTTTTATTTCAAAAAGTCATAACTTTTCGAGAAATTTTCCATGAATCACTACACTTTGCTCTTTCTATCGTGAAATTTTAAGTTAAAAAATGATGGAATTCGGAGAAGCGAAACAACCCCTGTCGTGGCTATAACATTAAAATAATTTTGAGAATTGTATCATAACCCAAAGATGTTTCGAAAGTTTGCAAAACCAAATGACATTATCGCGTATGCAAGCACTTGCGACTTTTCGAGATTTCAAAGGCGGAAATGGAAAAATTTTCTCATCTAGGTTCAACTTCATCAACATACAATCTCGGCATTGTAACCATTATGGTCAAAGTACAAGGCAGGTGACACCACAAAAATGTTTAAAAGAAACGTGAGAAAAAAAAATGGAAATATCTCAAGCGCAACAATTCATGAATAATTTATGAATGATTGTATTTAATTGCGCAAATTAACACCACAACTCAAAGTGCTAATATAGCGATTTCCAATAGCCATTCGCCTTCAAAAGAGAAGACATTTCCGTGAAATATATTATGTTAGTTATTTCGATAGATAGAGCCAGCATTTCTCCAATTTTATTCACAATTATTCTTATTTTTCATGAAAACCACCATAAACATAAAATATACATGAAAGTATTGCAAAATGAATCAGTGATTTTTCTTTCTATTGCTGAAACGATAACTTGCGTATTAACAACAAAGTACTTTATGGATAATATTGATATCATTAATATTTTGAGATTGAATTCTAAAAAAAATTGTCCACTCTCCACTCAAAAATTAAAATATGATAGCTTATCATTTTTAGTCAAGGGATTTATGATTTTTCATTATCTTGTAATATTAATCTTTTATTATATTATAACAAGAGCAATACTGTTTACCGTTCTGAATTTCATGCATTGTTTATTTATCTCATTTCAGTATCTGGAATCATTTGGTACAAATCACAAAGGACGGAAACAAAACTGTCATCATTACAACTCATTACATCGAGGAAGCGAGACAAGCACACACGGTAGTCAATTATTAACCAAATCATTCTTATCCACTTGCAAAATGTACAGCAATTATTATGTACGATATTTGACATTTCATTCGTCATGGAGGTACGAATGTGACGATAATTATCTTGTAATTGCTTCTGCATTATTCACATCGGAAACAGAGCGATCATGGCTAATTGATTGAATTTCAATTTGTTATGTAGATTGGATTAATGAGGAGTGGAAGATTACTGGCCGAGGAATCACCTAGGGCACTACTGACTATGTATAATTGTCCATCACTTGAAGAAGTCTTCCTGAAATTATCAAGGAAGCAAACCAATAATCATCCAAATACTGAGTTTAATATTTCAAATAATATTAGTTTGGTAAGTTCATTAGTTATCAACTATTTTTTTGACTCTATTTCCGAGTTTTGGCCAATCTTTCGAAAGTCATCCTTCTGTTAAAAAAACATCCAACAATTAATTAATATAAACTCAAACATCATACAATAGTCACTGCTCCAAGGAATGCTCATTCTTAAATCTAATTATTAAATTATTGAATTTAAAGCCAAACCAGGAACAAGAGGTAATGGATCGTTTTAAAAACACGAATAGAAACAGAATAAATTATCCAATTGCTAATTAAATAAATTATCATTGAAAAGCCTGCCGAGGCAGAAGAGGTAATCCATGCCAAAATATTATGTTGATGGAAAAAAATAATTAGCAATGGATTGAGCGGATAATTTAGATGAAATTTTAATTTCCTGAAATGGATTACATCACAGGCATCATTACACTGGGGAAAGAAGGACGAGCCAGTCTACGTAACTGAAGAGTCTGGCGTTGTCGGTCTCAACTTCCACCAGAGCAAAGAGGTCCTCATTCATGATACGACAAACGGCGTTGGCAGTCATTACGACGTAAGTTTATCCTCAGCAATTTCAAATCAAACATAGCCATTATTTGAAAAATTATTTCCCAGTCGAAATCATTTTCGCGTCTAATCAATTTTCCTAGCTTCAATAATTGAATACTTGAAGTTTTGTACAGAAATCGAATCTGACTGATTCATCTCCGTTAGTAGTTCTTCCACATTTTCTAGTCGAAATCGCTTATTATCATAATACCGTGAACACTCATCGAGATCGAATCTTTGAACTCTATAGGATTACCGTAGGTATTTTTTTTAGGAAATTAAGTTAATTGATTCATTTGTTTGACTTCTAAGTTGATACAAAGAAATTTTGAAAGGTCCTAGAAAGAGAAAGAGCGAATTGACTATATAATTGACCTACTAGTACTCAATTCGTATTGCTTTGACAATAAGCTATATAAAGACATGAATAATCTAGTTGTTAATTCGATGCGTTGTCAATTAATGGAAAATAATGTCAATGATTTATTTGTTTGTCTGAATAGTTGAATGGCAAGCCACTGCCAGGGGTGAAAGAGACACCAACCGTCGAGTGTGACGACTGCGACTTTCCAGGATGTCTCGCCGATATCACAAGCACAGGAAAAATAAAAGCGCTACTTCAAAAGAACTTCCTCAGGATGTGGAGAAACGTTGGAGTGATGTTGTTCATATTCGCGCTACCAGTGATGCAGGTCATCCTTTTCTGTCTAGCCATTGGAAGAGATCCAACTGGTTTGAAACTGGCAATAGTCAATCATGAGATGGACTGGGATTCCAAGTATTGCCCGGTTTACTCAAATTGTACTTTCACACATCTCAGTTGTCGTTATCTCAAATTTTTGGATAATGATACCATGATAACAGAGCATTTTCGGACGAAAGAAGATGCTCTGCACGCGGTGGAGAGGGGAAAGGCATGGGGAACTCTGTATTTTACTGAGAATTTCACTGACGCTCTGTCCGCTAGAATGATTTTGGGAAGAGATGCGGATGAAGAAACGTTGGAACAGAGTGAAATCAAGGTCTGGCTTGATATGTCCAACCAACAGATTGGCCTCATGCTGGCCAGAGATCTTCAGTACAGCTACAGAGATTTCGCCAAAGATCTTTTAAGTGCCTGTGAACAAAATACTGCTCTTGCCGATGTACCTATACAATTTTTGGACCCTATCTATGGCTCCAATGATCCTAGCTTCACGGATTTCGTCGCTCCTGGTGTCATTTTAACGTGAGCATTACAATTATTCAACAAATCCCTCATATTTTATATAATACATAAGTTTTTATAATACCAAGTTATCTTATCACTAGATCCATGAAAATTCCAGTGCCTAATATTAATGAAAAGTTTCATGAATAGCACTTGCATTATTGAATTTACTTTTCCCAACTTTACTGTCAAAATAAGGAAGTTTTACAATATTATTATGTGGAATGAAAACAACTATAGCAACACTAGCCAAAATGTTTTTTCCATATTAATTAGTATAACATATTGTTCCCAAAGTGCATTTTATTTAATAATAATTTGCCATTTCAGAATTGTTTTCTTCTTGGCTGTTGCCCTTACCTCCTCTGCTCTAATCATCGAGCGAATGGAGGGTTTACTGGATCGAAGCTGGGTGGCAGGTGTTTCTCCAGGAGAGATTCTTTTTTCGCACGTTATCACACAATTCATCGTAATGTGCGGTCAAACAGCTCTTGTCCTTATCTTCATGATGCTTGTGTTTGGAGTACAGTGTAATGGTGACATCGGTTGGGTTATCCTTCTGACGATTCTTCAGGGTCTCTGCGGCATGTGCTTCGGTAATGATTTTCCTTTCTCATAGCAAATTATTGCAACTACAATGTTGCAAAAAAAGCACATGATAAAAATTACACTAAACCATCTGATGTTGCAATTGCATTCAAAGGTCAGTCGCTAGTTTTTGTTTCTCTTCTCTTTTGAGATGCATTAGTGAAACATCGAGAATGTTTTTACATGAATGAAGAGAAAATTATGGCAATAATATGAGGGAAAAAAGTTTATTAGACAGAGATACAGGAGTCTCTTAGACAAGGTGTCGACGGATATTTTTTTAATTTAGTGTTCAGAGATGGTTTTAATCAATTTATTCTTCTTTTGTTGAAAAAATCAAGATGTTTATTTCGATTTTAGGATTCGTGATCTCCGCTATTTGCGAACTCGAGAGGAATGCCATTCAACTAGCTTTGGGCAGCTTTTATCCTACACTTTTGCTGAGTGGTACGTAAAGAATAATCATATACATTATACATTATTCATGAGATTATTTACCTGCGAATGAAGACATTGTAATATTTGAACTTTGCCTTTCCAAATGTTTTTTGCAGTTGAAAATACTCTCATAACTCTGAATATACGATTTATTCATTAAAGATTTCAAACATTATGGTCTGGAATCTACCAGAAAATAGCTGTGTTTGTGGCAATTGCGACAATTAAACCATGGGGTCAAAAATACCTTAATGTACTGTCTTCTATTTGAATAATATCCAATAAATTTTTTGTCAGAGGCCAGATAATCTGTAGATAAATCCCAACGAGCGCTATGTATTAACTCAGATTTAAGGAATATTATCAATTCGATGTGAAAGCGAAAATGAACTTGAATGATTTTTTATTTATAAAATTCCAGTGGAAATTACCAATAAGTTAACGATTGGCTTACCAAAGGATTTTCAATTCAAAAAGAGAAAATTTGAAAACATAAATTTGAATAGATAGAAAAGTTGAATTGTCAGCACAATTACCAATTAGAGTTTGGCAACAAAAGAGTCTACAAATAAATGAATTGGGAAATTTCAGGTGTCATTTGGCCGGTAGAAGGTATGCCGACAGCCCTTCGTTATGTTTCTCAAGGACTCCCTCTAACTATGGCAACGACTTCCCTGCGTTCGATGCTGACTCGAGGCTGGACGATCAGCGAACCCGATGTCTACAACGGCTTCATCTCGACCATCATCTGGATCGCTGTATTCTTAACGATAAGCATGCTGGTTCTCAAATTCAAACGGGGATAAAGGTCAACCTTCATAATCCACTGGGCCATTGTCCATGTACAGAATTTAATTTTTAGTTAAAAATGAAAAACAAAAATGGGGACAAATCGAAGACTCAAATTGGGGAGGGTACATCCTCAACCAAACATTCCTCAGGCGGAATCAGGGCACTTCGTAATTTTATATAATGACAGTTTGCACTTCAAGTTGAAGGATCTCTTGAAGTCGCTAATTCATTTTAAACTCAAATCTCCTTATCGAAATAATACGATTTAACTTGTTGGAAATTAATTGTATGGCAATAGTTAATGAGAAACATGATGTATGATCGTTATTATTGTTTGATGAGGCTATTCAATTGAGTTTATGGTACCCCAAAACTGTATAGAAGACCCTAGGATTTTATTATTAATTTTTCATTTCATTCGACGTTTATTTTTGTAATTGTTTTCATAAAATTATTTTTTATTCTGAAATTATACACTTGAGGTTTCTGATAGATTACTATTGTCAGGTGGCTTTCTTTGTTATGTTTCTGTCATTTATTCTTTCGAAATCTAGCGAAAATAAATGTTACCTTCTGTTGTTTATTGCCACATTTGTTAATTAATCAATTGGATGTTTGTTTGCGTACCATGTGTTGCATTAAAAATTTTGACTTGTCAATGTTATATTGATTATTTCTCCAAAATTTTGATATTGCACACGATGGACTAGAGATTCAATTTAAATTTCAAGCGGTAAAAGTGACTGCAAAATTCAAGACGAAGGAAAAAATCTTTTATGAGAGATAAGCAGAGAAATATGTCCTCTATTTTTTCTAGTTGAAGAATAAGTATCAATTGAAAAACTTCAGCGATAATTTCTCCTACGATAACTCGTCTACGCGACGATTTCATAATTATGCGGATATAATTCATGAAACCGAAGTGTTGTATCACTTTACTAATGTATTATGTTTTAAGAGAGAAGTTAATTGCTCAGAACGACTGGTCTGTGACTCAGTTGATCTTTCATTGCTATTTTAGATGATTATTCGGTACACGTGGTGGGAAACTCTTCCAAAAAATATAAAAGAGAACTGTAATTAGTATTTTTAAAACATTTAAGGTAGATATTAGGTGGTAGTTTAGGACAATTCTACTTGCCCATGACTTAAGTGTGCTTTTATTTAAATTGTAGTGATGATTGAAAATTGTCTAAAAGAAAAAAATTTTAAAAGCATTCAATTGGAAGTGTTAATATATATTATATTTGAAAAAGCACCGTTCTGATTCTTGTATAAAATCCCATTTTAAATATATTGAGTGTAGAGATAATAAGCAAGTGAATTCTTCACGGAGTTGCGAGACGATATTGCTCTCCAGATTTCAGCCAGGGACTGTTTTCTTCAACTGCGGACTTCCAGTAATCTAAAATAAAATTTAAAGATCAGAAAATTGCAACGAAATGGACAGTTGAATAATTTAATTGAAACGGTAAAAAAAAAGCTAAAATTTTACTAAAATAAATCCTAAAACTATAACATTAATCATTAAAAATAAATAACTATCTCTGAAACATATTTATCTTCTTTAATAATGGATAATGGCAAAGTGAATGACTTATTAAATTCTGGAGAGGCCCAGCGCTGCCGCCGTATTCCTCGGGCAGCAATCTTTGCGGAACTTTAGTCTCGAAAAACTCTTTGGATGATCCTTTGTGCACAAGAGTTCTGGACTTCAATTTTTCATCCATGAAAGATTTGAAAATATTGATCACTAAATTAACGTATACTGGAGCATTGACGAAATTTAGTGACTGAATCCGAAGGGGATAGCAGCCCTGCCAGGCATGAGTCAAACGTTTGATAACACTTGGAGTCATCTGCAGAGCATGATCTAGCGACACTCCAGTCATATCGAAGATCGCTGATATACCATAGACTGATGCAGAAACGTGATCTTTTAAGGCCAAGTCGAGGATCATCAAACCTGCCTGTCATTTTTTAAACATCAGTCGGTTAATCTCATGATAAATGAAAAATATTTCATCAACAATTCCTATCTGAAAGATTCTAGTTAAGACGCAATTATTTTTATTTCTATCATGCCAATATAGATATCATTTTTATTCTTCATCATTATGTTTACCTTAATAACATTTGCTATAGAGTGCTGTGCAGGATTGTGAATGCACACACGGAGAATAACAACAATTCTTCCATCATCGTCAACATCTTTCAAAGGTAAGAAAGGCCTGAAAAGGAAGAAAGGTTTTTTCCCTTCAGGTTAATTAATTGTTAGACCTCTAATTAACTACAAGCAAATAAATCACAAATAAGGTAATGACAATAGAGCTTTAAAATATTTATTTGGAATGTTGAAAAAGTGACTTGAACTGGCTGAATCTTTTTAATCGAGCGTTTTCATCCTTGTTTCCAGTCATTCCATTTCAATATTAGCTGGTATAAAAGTCAATATATCAATTTACCCCAGTTCAAATAAATTCTGCATTTCCGGCAACAGTGGATCTCTATTGGCGAACCAATCGGCTGACGCGGTTCGTTGTGCATGATAATTGTACATTTTCTTTTTGGCCCTTTCAACGTCAAACTTGCAAACTCTCAGGAATCTCTGAATTGTGAAATCATCTGCAATTTACAAATTCGAACCTCGTCATGTGCCAGTGTTTAATTGTAATTCATATTTTTATTCTCATAATTTCTGTTTTTAATCTCGTAATGCACCCGACTAGAAACATTAAATGTTTTATAGAATATTAATAAATGATAAATTAAATATAAATTGAGAAAATATTATTATATTATTATTTCATTCACCTGTTGGAGCGCGAAGACTCTCGTGTGATTCAATCCACTCCCTCACCTTTTGAATTTTCGAAGGTGCATCCTCCCGTTCATTCAAAACATTCGCGGCGTATTGTTTTTGTTTATCAGTCAGTTGATAATCACTAATACCATTTGCAATCGAACTCATCTCGATTATATCAGAATGACAAAAAAAAAACTCTTTGCCGAGAAAATATAAACCAGTAATTGAGTTGCGAAATCACAAACAACTCATCTCTATTTACTCCATAATTTCAATAATGAACACTTCAGAGAGCAATCAACAAATGTTTCCTGTGGGAAATTTCCTCGATGTAATAAAGATCAGCTCAGTGAAATAAGGAATTGACATTTGACTCTTTTTTTCTTGTCAATCCAGTTAATAATTACTCTAGTCCGATAATAAGTAGTCGTAAGTGAAAGCGTTGGAGGACTTTTTCGCAAATTGTTGCCTCTTGATGAAAAATGTATTCCGATACTTTTCTTTATCGACTAATAGAAAAAACAAATTTATTATTTGAAGATAATATAAAAAAATGTTATTTCACCATTGAAATGCGATCGTTGGGCGGATGTTTCTATCAGGAACAGTAGAAATTCAAGTAAACTGCAGTTATGACTTTTGTCCAGTGCAAGGAGTAGAAGCATCACTTGTACTGTCCAACGTGCACTGATTGCGATTGTTATATATACACATATCCCACGCGCACATGCCCCATCGTCATTATTTTCATCGACATGCAGATTAGATTATTGCTTTAATTCAGTTGATTACGATGAAGAGTACTTAATGTCCTCTTCATCTTGATTCAAATGATTTTTTCCACTCGATGATGAAATCGACCGTATGACCGTGGAATTAAATTTTACTTAATTGATTATTCATAATTATTGGGTTAATTGTGGCCAATTTCGCGAGAGTCAATTGAGAGATTAATTTTTGCTATTAGCCCTCACTGCAAGATACAGCCAGCTGTTAGCATCTGCATCTGCAAAAATATGTCTACTGAACTGCGGCAGTTGATACTAGTGAACAATTGCAAATAGTATTCATTTAATCCAACCAACGGTAACTTAGAAATTCTTTGTATCGAGCTATTTGTCAATTTCAGACAGGCAAACGATACTTTATAAGTGCGAACACACGATTAGAATTATCTAAAAAATTGTGCTTATGATAATTATCCTCTTTTAGAAGAAGCAAGTAAGATTTTTTGTCAGCTATTTGATCGGCCATAAATAATTGCTTCTAAACTTAAATACCAAATTTATTTTACTAGTATATATGACACGCTACGGGTGCCTACGCTCACATGTATGGGTTGTGATCATTAGTAATGTATCTAATTTTAATACTAAAAGTCCTTTATCTCTTCCAATATATTAAAGGAGAGTGTAGGGATTGTGAGAAAGTCAAATTTGAATTAAAAAAAAAACAGCCCCCCAGAGACCAGAAGAATTACCACTAATAATTGGCCTATAAATTACCATTAATTGTATTTATTAGATTTTGTATTTATTATAATTAGATATATTTGAAAATGACTCCCGAGGTTATTTAAACCGATCAGAATGTAATTTTTAATGAGAACGGACCTAGATGAACATTAATCTTCTAATTTAGATGAAAATTAATCTCGCAGTCTTAGCCTATGCATTCAGGCGAGATTTCATCATGGAGATGGTAATTTTCACATCCACTTTTATTAATGAACCAAATACTAATGCAAATTTTAATTTGTAAACAATATAAAAAGCAGATTGTATGAACACAGGATTCTAGGGCAATTTTTCCCCGGACAAAATTTCTCTCAAAAAACAAAAATATCATTTCGGAACGAAAATTAGAGAACAAGAACGAAAAAATGATGATGTAAAGAAAAAAAAAATCCTCCACTACAAGACATTCAATTGCCAGATCACACAAAAACATGGAAATACAAATGATTATTCTCCAAATAATTGAAATAAATGAATGAACAATTGTCAATTCACACAAACAATAGCAATACAAAATCTCAACATAATGTCTCGTACCAGCGAAACTCAACGCCAATTAATTTTCAAATAAACTGACATGAATCATAATATACAAAACCCACCAACTTCCAACACTTCCACTCAGCCTTCAATTAAGCCAAAAAATAACGGCAATACAATAATTAATATGATGCGATATGCAATCCTCTTCAAATACCCAATCATATCCTTAGGATCATAACAATTGATTTCTTTTCCTGGAAGGATTTTCGGAAAATTTTGTCCAGGGAAATTTGGTCCGGGGAAATTTTTTTCGGGGAAATTGTGTCCAGGGAAAAAGTGAAGCACAGCTCACTCTATAGTCCAAGACTAGTTAAGGCTACTGACAATTGATTACTTTTTCGCTCCTCCGGTGAGGATTGACGGCTAACCGTACCCACGTACTCAGACCGTATTCGCATCGCTGCACGCAGTTTAATACTTCTTAAGCGTTACTTGACCCGCGAGCCAAAACGCCATCTAGGTCGGCCATGATACTACATAAATTCAAATGACTCTACCATAGTTCTCACTATAGTCAAAAGACTAATTAGTTGGATAGTACTTGTAAACATACTTTACCGTACTTGTAAACATCGGGTATCACTCCACCGCAAACTTACGAGAGTATTTCAGCGTAAACTAAAGATAAATGAACAAATCTTGTATCAAATAAAAGATCTGGAATCGCAAATTAGCGTGATAATATATAGACAGTAATTGAGCAAGTTACACCAATAAACAAAGGGTGGCCTTGCGATATTCCTTAAAACTGATACAAAAACAACTGGGTTAGTAGTCCTATGCCGAACGCGGTAGGCCTCAGTCACGGTGAATCAGTCATACGATTAACATGAGAATCTACGAGGTCGATGAAATGTGTCGTGATTCCGCGAAAGTCGTGAAGTTTCTGCAGGACTGACATGTGTTAATGAGTGAGATGAAGTGCCCAAAGTGTAGTGCTGATATGGCTTACGATGACCATAAGAAGGTGTTCCGGTGCTCTAAGAGGAAAACCGCCTATCATGCTCGCAAGAAAAACATCAGTGTGAAGTGTGAAGGGTATATTAGCCTAACACATGGATCATGGTTCTGGAACATCCACATCCCGCTCACGACAGTTGTAAGGTTTATTTCCTTCTATTTAATGCTCAACCCACCTAGGCAAGACTACCTAACCTTTGAGTTAAGATTGTCAGCAAGCACAGTAGTTGATTGGTCTAACTATGTGAGGGAAACCCTAATTGGCTGGTGCGAGGAACACACAGTTCAGTTGGGAGGACCCGGAAAAATAGTCGAAATAGCTGAGACCAAAGTCCCCACAGAAAATATAATCGCGGCCGCAACGTTGAAGGCAAATGGGTACTTGGGGCTATAGAACGAGGCACTAAAGCCCATGCTGTTAGAGTGGTGAGGACAGGATGGCAAAAACCTTAGTGCACATTATAGAAAGAGGGGTTAAACCTGGAACGATTATCATTTATGATCCATGGAAGTCATACAACCAACTAAGCAAGAAGGGATACAAACACCTCACCGTTAACCACTCTATCAATTTTGTGGATCCTGTGACTGGGGCACACACACAAAGCATAGAGAGGGCCTGGAGAGATCTCAAGGACACTGAGCAGAAGTACGGAGCGGTAGAACAACACTTTCACGGTTATCTATGTGAGTACCTGTGTATGAGTAGGAATCCAGTAAAAGGAAATGATACCGCTGCGGCCATTGTTATCGTGAAAATCTGTATATTTTCTTTTCATAATCATCATATGCGAGTTCGTTCTTGTGTCTAACTCCATCGATTGGAGACTCTAGAGTACAGTGAGAGAATCGAAGAGTATGAGGAAGTTATGCTCTTTATATTGAAGAGCTGCATCAAGTGCCATAGTGCCATTTAGACGTAAAACCGTGCGCTCTTTGTAAAGTTGAATAGTTCGGTTTTGCGGCACGTTAGCACACTACTACGTCGCCCTAACATGAGCTAGGCCCGGATCCTTACTTCTCATCAAACTTAGTTAAATTTCGCGGATGGGCGGTTTATCTTCCCTGCCGCCACCAAGCTCTGTTTCGAATTATTGTAGCTCTGCCTAGATTGGGTTACAGATTAAATTTCAAGTCCGGCTTTATGAAATGCGATCCTTGCTGCTGCCTGATCTGATCGCTCGTGGGAAGGCGATCTCCTGGTATTGCAATCTTGTCACCGCTAAGACTGGGCAGTCGCATAGAATATGTAGACTATCCTCCGATTCCCTTTTACAAAATCTGCACAGAGCGTCCTCGCTCATGCCTATGATTTTGCAACGGACCATGGCCTGTGAGAAGCCTGATCGTTGGAAGGAGCAGCCTGCAAAGGCCGCACCACCCTTTCCCTTTGTCCCCTCCGGTAGAGAGAGGATTTGGGATCTAATTAGTACGTTCAGGCCCTTTATCCCTTCTTGGGTAATCTTCTGATCTGGGTAGTTCTCTGGTATGAGCACAAACCTGATCATCTTTTTTGCGACCTGTGAGAAAGTAGCCTTATTGGCTCTTTCACAGGTCTCAATGTTTGATCGCTGGAAGTGCTGTGTGCAGGTGCTAACCTTTTCATAGCCTTCACCGTCTGGCGGCTCCTCTCGCTGCTCGTTTGAGTAGGCGATTTTTTCTGTTCTCTTTCTTAAAGTGTCGCCTTGCTACTCCATTGTATTTGATCCTGTTCTTCAGCAGTCCAGAGATCTCTTGGTATTCCGTGTGGCTCTCGTTAGCCCCAGACGAACTTTGTATTTCTGTGTTCTCGTCCATGCAAGTCCCACGAGTACTGTTCCGGAGGCATTCGTAGACCTTTTCTTCATTGAGGCTTATTTTCCCACGATTTTGTGAAATATAGTGAGCGTTAAAATCCCCCACCGGGAGACAGTTTGCATGTTGTCCCGCTGTATTAATTATTTTCTCCCAGTAGTCCTTGCGAAGAGTCCCCTCTGCTGGATGACGATAGCAGAGGTACACTTTAAGTTGGGATTGAACATTGGTAATTTTAACGGCCACCATCTCAATTTTTGGATTAGACAGATCAGGGTCGTCCAGTCGTTGAGTCCTCAGGTTTCTCTGCAAAATGATCGGCAATCCACCAGTTCTGACTGCCTGGTCAATTCTCATTGTCGCAATTTCAGGAAAATTGTATTCTCGTTGATCTAGAGGATCTAGATGAATTTTAACAGATAATTATGTGTCTGTGTTTACAGAGGCAGCCAGAAAGTCTTAGTTGTGCGCTTGAAATCCTCTCACATTCCAAAACATAATTCAGAGAAGTTTATGTTGTTTTTTTGTGTAATTTGTAACGCTTTTGCCAGGTGCAGATCTTTGCTTGCCGCGATTGCTGTCCACATCTATACCACCCTAATCCTAAGCCTCCTAACTTCGTCACAAATGACAACTTTGTTAACTCAGTATCATCTCAGGACGAGACCGGACCTTTAACCTGCGGCTTGATGCAACCCTTAAAACCGCGTTTTTTGTATTGCTCCGATCCCCTAACTGGCCCCTTCATACTCCCACTTGTAAGTACACGTGTAGTGTGTTTTCTCTAGATTCGCTAAGTGCTCCTCCTGGCGATGCGGTGCTAGGATAAGAGTACGTGTCTACGCTGCTCAGTATGCAGATTTTGAAGAGAAGGCAGGGTCCGAGGATCTACTCGACTTCGCATGGTTATTAATATTCTTTATTCTTGAGGTATAACTCCTCTTCTCTATTCACTCAGTCAGGCGGGACAATACACTAATCACACCCACTCTCCTTACTCCGTTACTTTCTATCGCTATTTCTATTCCGGTCTACACCGATTATGTTTTATTTGCTGTGACTCAAACGGGCGACATCGGGACAAGAACGGGCTCGGTCGCAGGGCCTCGCAGGTCGACTTCTGCACACGTCCGAACGTTGCCGCGGTTCACCGACGACTCTCTCATTCTCCACCGTTTCCTCTTCTTCCGCTCGCATCAGCCAGGACCAGAGGATGATCTGCGCGATTTGCCTCGGAAGATTTTTCGGCTGGTTACTTTTCTCATTTGGGTACCCCGCAGCGGTGGGTTTCTTCATGCCACAAGGCCGGCCATCTTCGGCGGTCCATCCCCACGAAAGGTGGGAGTGCAGGCTATCACTGCGACTTAACCGTACGTCTTGTCCTCCACAGTTCCTTGTCTGGTCTGCAGTTTCTGTAGCCTCTAGCAAGCCGGGCTTCTGAAACGCGAGGTATCTTTTCTGGGCACATAATTCTGCCGATAACTCCTGGGCACGTAATTCGACAGATAACTCCCGGCCACTCCACGGTATCCTCCGATACTTGCTTTCCCCTTGGATGGATTAATTATATTAAGTGTATTGTCGTGATTCTATTGTACTTTTATGCGGTGCATTTGCTATATTTTCCATATCTTGGCCTTCCTATTTTTATTCATTCACACTCTCATTCATACCACTCTATCCCACCTGCCATTACAGATTTGCTAATGATGCAGAATGGTCTGAAACGTTAAAATACGAAAAACTTTTTGCGAATCGGATTTTGAGAAAATGGAACAATAACAGGACAAAAAAAATTCAAAAAGATCTGCAATTTTATCACATCACAGATCCTAACTAAACCTAGCACTGGCCGCAGAACTCGCTGAAGCCGTATAATAGTTTCGGATAAAGAGCCATTTATTTTTTAAGCATTTTTTGCAAATATGTGCAACACTCTTGGCTCGATTCAACTTTTTCTTTCAAAATATTGACCTCAATAGTCTCCACCTAGATCAATGGAACCCTATATAGTCATTGGTACAAAGTTTCCGAGATATTTTTACCTTTCTGTTTTTTCGAAAAGATCGTTGTCCGCTCTAATTTAAAAAACCAACAGGCAGCAAGTTTCTTCTTATGAGCACAATGTTTCCTATTGAAAATGGGGTGGGTCGGATGATTCCTTTAAGGGATACGGCCATTTTTCTTTTTTTTTCCAAAAAATCTTTGCCGGAATAGCTATGGATTCATTCGGAAGCTACCAATTATATTGATAGGAGTAAGAAATGCGAGAAAAAACTAACAAATAAAGTAATGGTTAAATGTCTCCGGCTCAAAAGTCAACTACATGTTTTTTCATCGTTTTGGAGTTATAATGTTTGGCCTCATTATAACTCCAAAAATAATTGAGATAGGAACCTGAAGTCATGTAAGACTTTCGGTCTCATGATAACAAAGTTTGGGATTCAAACTCAGCGGAATCACTAGTTTCTGAGATATTCCACTTTCTATACAAAACTTTTTGCAATATTTCAAAAACTACGCGCCCCACTTGATTTTTTTCCTCATAATAATAATCCATACGGATTTTTATCAATTTCTCAAGATGTTCCCTCCAGAGTTTTTGCTTTAGAATCTTGAATACAAATCCTATTTTGAAAAGAGAACCGAAATAATTTAGGAGCATAATTTATAGCGCGCGAGTTGAGCAAAAAGATTGTACAAAACGGCTATTCTCGATTCAAACTCAATTTTCTGCGAGAACGGCGTAGAAACAGTTTTCGAAAGAGTAGGATGCATCCACATTTTGGACGAATTTAAATCATCTAAAACCAACTTTTTCAAACAGTTGTTAAACATTTCTTCAAGGACATTTTCGCAATATTCTGCCAATGTGCAAGGCCTTAAAAACAGTTTATTGGAGTATAACAAAGATATACGTTTCAGATGATATTGGACCATCTAAATGTAACATTCAGAGTTTTTCTCTATGTTATCAACAATTTTTGTTCCCGAAACGGGAGCATTGTAATCGTGCAGAAATAAGTTTTTGTTTTTTTGTGTTGGATTAATCCATTATGGTCCAAAAAGTTCGAAAATGCAATTTTTAGACCCTGTCCGTACGTATGTATGTATGGGTGTATGCATGTGACAAACGTTTTTTTCAATTTTTTAAAATTTTTTTGAATTGCGCGCGACTTGATGCATGCAATCAAGTAATTTTTTTTTTAATGTAGTCACTGTCGAGTTCTATCCATCCACATTAATTCGAATTCGTTTCGATTGGTATAATTTTTTTTTTCAATTTTTCAATTTTTTTTGGAAATTTCGGATTTTGACGATAATTGAAAAAAAAATTGATTTGAATCAACTCCTGGATGGCTTGAAAAATTCACTCAAGTGTCTTTTGAACCGAGTTCGAAGATGAAAGTGATAGCGACAATAGTTGTTTATTTTTTATTATTTTTTCTTTAATATTGAAATCTCTTCCATATCTCGGAATTTTATGCTCAAAAGGATTTCAACTAGAGTTTTTAACATCACTTTCGATACCAGCAATACCAACAGTACCTAGTGATGTGACATCTATTACCGTCATTACAAATTCAAAATCTTATGTCATTGTTCTTGAATGTGAGTTTTGTGATGGTTTCTTTGCACTCGTTATGTTTGATTCATTTGATTGGGTATGCATAATTCGTCTACAACAATATCTCATCCAAATTTGAAAGTAATGTGAACAATATTATACAGCCACTTAGTTTTAGAAATCAGTTCTAGAACTCTTGGAAGGGAATTAATTATCATTATCAATATAAGTGGCAATGATAACAATGTAAATCATTACATTGTTATATCAATTATATATTGTGAATAACCGTTCGGGTGCGAGTTGCTAATTCATTAGCAAAGAAAACTATATGATATCAATTACCACAGCATATCCTATTTGTTTCTTCAATACCATTGGTAAATTCGTGCGAACACTTTCTCGCAGGATAACGATTCTCAATGCTGCTAACGACTTTTAAACATGTATCTGTGAGTTTTTAAGCAAATCTATTAACGCCTTTATAAGTAAACATTGCAATTAGTTTTTTATCTTAGACTGCATTATTTACAACGTTTTGAACGTACAAGCTGAGTTTCAAGGCATTGATGAGATTTCGACAATAAGAACATTTTTTCTTTCGACAAAATTTCAGTAAAAATCACTCGAAATCGGGTTCAGATGATTCGAAACGCTTTGAAATGTGAGGATTCATCGTCCCATTGAAAAATGTTTGTATGACCTTCTTGCACAAAATTAATGTTTAATCAGAAAAAGTATGTACGACTGTTTGCTCAATACGTGCGATATCTATGATTTGTGTATTAGGTGTTATAGTTCAAGAGGAGATTCATTCGGTCACATTTATCTAAGTCATACTAGCAATAAATTGGTAGAAAGTAAAATGGAAGAAAAACACGTAGAGTAGAAATGATGCTGCACACTGCTTGTTTTCCCATAAAATTGAAACTCCCGTTTATTTTAAATCCGATTGTCTTGATACATGCTTTATAAATTTTTTTTTATGAATAAAATGCGTATTCATGCGAGATATATGGAAGATCATAAGTTCTCTGTGTTGGAAAGATCCAAAAGACTTGATGAAGGTCTTAATCGGCTATAGCACGTGCAACTGGCAGAGGGTACAAACCATTTTTTTTATTTCACTCCTTATTATGCTCGTCTGACTATCTGCAAAAAAAATCATCAGTTCCGCGGTGAGTGAGGTGGAAAACAGAAAAATGGAATTACCAAGAAATGCATTTTTAGGAAAGGAAATGATTTATTAATGCAATTTGCGTGCAATCATGCAATCACTATCTTACTCGGTAAATTCCACGTTCGCCTGATCACTGTTTTGCGTACGCATCATGGAATGAATGAACACGAAAACCAAATTAATGTCGAATCGGTGAGTTATGCGTATTTTCAACCCGTACCACCGAGAAAAATAGTACATTATGCATCAAGCGTAAAAGTCAGTGCTTTCCTGCTCGAGGCGCACATGCTATTTTATATCTGTGCCTTCGGCTTAATCCTTCGGAGATTGCCTTACGTTATGTCTGCATGTGTGTGTGTAAACCCGTCGTGAGAGCCATCTATAGCGGGGAGCAAAACAGGGTGCTGTAATAATTATTTTACATTTAGGTCAATAACTCAGCAGAAATGAAGGGTCTATGTAGTTTCAAAGAAAAATTACAAATAAAACCTTTTCTCCTGTAAGACTGATGAAATTTAAAATTATGAAATGTCTTGTATTTCATCTTGTAGAATTTTTCACGCTGTTGAGTGTGTCATAGCGCAATTTGATCGCTTCAATTATTATTTACCTTAAGATACCTTTTAAATTTCGTTTTCTACTTTTTCCTTCTAACAATGTTGAGAATCAAATTTTCAATTAATCGCAACAAGTTCTATATATTTTTCTTAACTAAATAGGATATGTGGAAGGCAGAGTGCAAGGGATTTTCAGAATTCGAGTGAAAACTATTTCGGAGGGATATTTCTCTTCGAGACTGTCTGCAGAAACCGTAGTCATCAATTGTATTGCACTTGACCGATTGGTCGGATTTGACCGTAAAATTACGGGAGGGACGGGGCGTCGTCAAAATTTCCAAATGTATTCCATTTCTCGATTTCAAAATGTTCTTTTGGAGCATTAAATGCAGACGTGCTTAGTAACCAAGTGACAGTTCAGATTTTCTGCTTGAAGTAATTGGTGATTGTGCATAGTGATTCTATCATAGTGTCAATCATTTACTCATTTGTGTTGTTGTATACCCCAACTCTCAGTTATTTCTAAAGGATAAACCATCTTATTACTCGGGTAGTTCCCCAACAATTTAGAATAATTACTTTATTTCTCACGTAGTTCCCCAGCAAAATACAGTATAAGAAAGACTCATTCATCAGGGGACTTACCCCAATAATCATTAAACACTTCGATAAATGAAACCCTGGGCCTTTCCCCAATGAACTCCAATTCCCCCATTGACGTCACAAACCTAGCCGTTCTAAAACCCTTGATGTCCAAAATATGGACATATTCGCCATTTTTCCTTTCTTTCCCCTTCCACTCACCAATCCGCCCTTAGTTACATTTAAATGAGGGAACTTCTATATTTTAAGTTAGAATTAGTTTAGCAAGGTTAACGAATAGATCAGAACCTCTGTACAATCCAGACGAAATTGCTCGAATCAGAGTACCTCAAGTCTCACTAGTTGTTAATCATATATACATTTTCGTGAATAAAAGTATTAGTTAATTTTAAAGTTACCTCAATGTACTTTTTATTCTACGGAATCCAACAAAATTTGGCGACGAGGATGGGATTGGTCTAACTCTTGTGAAAAAACCAGTGCATTCAACGGAATATATAAATTCCAACCTGGACATAAGTGACAGTATTGTGTAAAATTAGACCATCACCAACATCTCTTTAAGGATCAACGGTCCCAGGATTGGATTCTTATCTGAAATTAGCAACTTCAGCACCAGCCGGGAGTTATCCAACAACAACTGTGAGTACTGACACTCAGATATGAATTGTATCTTCGACTGAGATTGCCCCTTAATCCATAAATCCTTAACTCACAAAAATGGATGAAGTTCCAATCAATCCAAATATCCAAATTCCTCAAAATGAACAATTCCAAAATCTTCAAAATCCCACGAACAATCAGAGTAGACAACATCCAGGAGAGGAGTTGACATTAAACTTCCTTACAAAATTAATACCAAACCAATTTGACGGGAATCGATTACAAGTGCGTAGTTTCGTGAAACAAATCGACGGAGTGTTTGAACTCGCAACACAATTCCAAAAACAACCCTTATTATTATTTGTCAAAAGTAAAATCACAGGAAAGGCTAGAGAACAAATCGACATCCACTGTAACCTCACAACATGGGAAGAAATTTCTGATTTGTTATTAAATTTATACCAAGATAAAAAATCTATGGATCAATTGTTAGAAGAATTGAATCATATTTCTCAAGGTCGCAATGAGACCGTATCACAATTTTATCAGAGACTCGAAGAGTATTCTTCACGAATTTTAGCCGCGATTCACGCATCCGAAACAGATGAAAGCACTCTAAAAGGCCGTATCGCAATGACAAATGACATGACAAGGAATCGGTTTATCTACCACACTCATGCTCCAATCTCTCAAATGTTAAGATATCGAGATTTTTCGACTATGAATCAGGCACTTACCGCCGCATTGACAGAGGAAAAAGCCCTTAGAAACAAGTATAACTTTCAAAATCAACAAAATTGCCACCACTGTAATCGCACAGATCATTCATCTCAAGATTGTCAAGTTAAAAACCAACAGGTTACACATTTCTCGCGAACAAACAGAATGCGTTTGGTAAATTTCTCAAGTGCCAATGGCCAAAATCCTCAAAATTCCAGAACCTCCCAAGTCAATCAAAATGATTATCGAACTAACAAAGCTCAATCAAACGTCAACCAAATTAATTTACAATGTAATTATTGCAAGAAAATTGGGCACACTATTTCTGAATGTAGGAAAAGAATTTGGGTAAATAATCAACGAGGAAATGGTGGAAACAACCCCAGACCCCCTCAGCATCATAACTCCAACCGACAAAATCCCAATCAAAAAAATTCTAACCACTCAAATTACCAGAATCAAAATCAAAATCGAGGGAATCATAATGCCCAGATTCATTATCACAATCAGACTCCACAACCTCCACATAATACTTCAAATTATAACGAATTCCCTATGAGTCAAGGAGTCAGTAATGAAAATCAAATATCTAATAATTCAAACGAAATTCATCAAATCACGCAGGAATTCGGTAATTTCCTTCAAATGAACATCCCCACGATTTCTAATAATCTAACATACGTATTGTTCCAATGCCCAAATGCAAGAGCTGGAAATAAAACGCTCAAACTCTTGCTGGATACAGGCGCAGCAATATCACTTCTCAAAACATCAGCCCTAAACCAATTCAGTATCACAGATCCCGAAATTATTACATTAAACGGGATAACACCAAACGCTCCTATTGCCACTATCGGTGGAACGAATATCCAATTACAACATGAAAAAATCGCTCTCAACTCTAAATTCCACTTAATTCATGATTCGACTAATATTCCCTTCGATGGATTATTAGGTTTCGACTTTTTCAATGCCCATAAATGCAAAATTGACTACGAAAACTCAAATATCAAAATCGCATCAATCATGCAGCCAATTCCCTTGTTTCAAAATGTTCCCCAACCCAAAAATAATTCGATGATCACAATCAGCGCACGATCAGAAATGATCACTCGAGTGAGTATAATAAATCCTCTGGGACTAAAAGAAGGCGTAATCTCTTGTCAAAAATTTATCAATGATCCCAGTCTTGTAATTCCTAACGCAATCGTCGAAATCAATGAAAATGAAGCACTCACCACAATCGTTAACACATCGGATGTAATTAAAACTCTGGAAATCCCAAATCTAACTATTCAATCATTATCAAGAGAAGCGACCATTTTTAAACTCGCCCCTGGACAGAGCGAAAACTCGCCGGAAAATCGAACAAAAATCCTCAAAGAAAATCTACGGTTAGATCACCTAAATCCAGAAGAAAAAGAATCAATAGAGAAAATGTGCGAAGAATTCAATGACATTTTTCACTTACCTACAGACCTATTGACAAAAACTACTGCGGTAACTCATTCAATTAAAATGACTAATGACGATCCAATCTATACAAAAACTTACCGTTATCCAGAAATTCACAAAGACGAAGTGAATAACCAAATCAATAAAATGCTAGAACAAGGGATTATCCAACACTCAATGAGTCCATGGTCAAGCCCCCTCTGGGTAGTACCAAAAAAGTTAGATGCATCAGGCGAACGCAAATGGCGTATCGTAATTGACTACAGGAAATTGAACGAGAAATCAGTCGGTGACGCGTACCCACTTCCCAATATTGAAGACATTCTCGATCAGTTAGGACGCGCCAATTATTTTACAACTCTAGACTTAGCTAGTGGCTACCATCAAATCCCCATGAATCCCCAAGACGCAGAAAAAACTGCCTTTTCGACCCCAAGCGGTCATTATGAATTTACACGAATGCCATTTGGGTTAAAAACTGCACCAGCCACATTTCAACGGATGATGAACAATGTTTTAATGGGGTTAAACAATATACAATGTTTCGTCTATCTCGATGATGTTGTCATCTACGGTTCATCACTTTCAGATCATAATTTGAAATTACAAAATGTCTTCTCAAGATTACGAGATAATAATTTGAAACTCCAACCCGACAAATGCGAATTTCTCAAACAAGCATGCGAATATCTCGGGCATGTAATTTCGAATGAAGGCGTACGAGCCAACCCCAAGAAAATCGCATCCATCAATAACATTCCACGTCCCAAGAACATCAAACACATTAAAATTTTCCTAGGCATGATCGGGTATTACAGAAAATTTATTCGTGATTTTTCTACAATTGCAAAACCACTCACATCATTATTAAAAAACGATGTCCCTTTTATCTGGTCAGAGACTCAAGAAACTGCATTCATAACACTAAAGAAAATCATCACCGAAAATCCAATTCTGCAGTACCCCAATTTTTCAGAACCTTTCATTGTCACTTGTGATGCCTCAAACGTAGGTATCGGTGGCGTATTGTCCCA